TAATATATTCCAATCTTCTAACACACACACACACACACACACACACACACACACACACACACGCCACAACTTCTTATAACAAATGTATATAAATATACATATACAGGATGTAACAACGATCATATATCAGGAGTTTTAGAAGAAAATACGTATTTTATTGAAAAATGTTTTATTACCAAAGTTATAAGGGTTACTTATCATTACATAGTAGTATTAGTATTATGTTGAATAGCATTATCAAAGTCACATAAAGATTATTTGGAAATAATGGAACCCTCATTTTTTATTGCATGTACATACATGTAGTTACTTTGAGAGCTTTTCTAAATAAAATTTTCATTCTGTACATGCAATAAAAAATGAGGGTTTCCATTATTCCAAATAATCTTTTGTGACTTTGATAATGCTATTCAACATAATACTAAATACTAATGTAATGATAAGTAACCCTATAACTTTGGTTAAAACATTTTTCAATAAAATACGTATTTTTTCTAAAAACTCCTGATATATGATCGTTGTTACATCCTGTATATGTTATATGTATTAATTTATATACATTTGTTATAAGAAGTGTGTGTGTGGGTGTGTGTGTGTGTGTGTGTGTTGAGAAGATTGGAATATATTATTTTATTACTTTATGTTTCTATCTGATAAATGCAGCTTTTTTAATTAAATTTATAAAATACAATTTCTATGAAAGTCAATTTAACAAAATTTCGATTTCACAAATATATGTTTATATGAATATATTCTTTTCGATATTTTATATTTTCTCTATTTACTATTTATTATTTGTTCAATAAAATCCATTTTATTATGAAATAAATAATAAAGATAGAATAATGCAAAATATTAGTCTAATTGTGCAGTAAAAAATATTTTGATAAATTTAAAATATTTGTAGAAAAATTATTTATTTCGGATATTTACAAAAAGCTGCATTTATAATATAAAAACATGAAGTAATAAAATTTTATCTATTCCAATCTTCTCAACATACATTACAAATCCAAATTTATACATGATACACATACACATAATAAAATGCATGTAAAGACAGACAAGAAATGGGGAAAGAAAAAAAGAAAATAAAAGTTAGTTTAAAATACCCCGGGACAAAATTTGTGGTATAATAATATAACATTATATAGAAATATATAAAGTATACGTATAATCGCAGAATTATTTATATGAAATATGTCTATACATATTAAGTAAAAGTGCTTGTTATATATAATTATATAAATTTATATTATATATATATATATATATATATATATATATACAAGTGTAATAAATAAGTATTTCTTTATATATATAAATATATATGTTTTATATACAAATTGACATGATTATATATGCACCCTTATTTTTATATATAAATTTACATAATTATGTATAAAAATGGACATATTTTAAAAGAATGAATGAGTGAGTGAACGAGTAACTGGCTGTTGCCGTAAAACGATATGATTGATTGCATTGATTACTAATTGATAGAATACTAACAATAAGCATAAAGGATCAAGAAAAGAGAGAGAGAGAGAGAGAGAGAGAGCTCTCTTTTTTACTTTTCAGAAAATAGTGACATTCAATGCAAACGATCAATTATACATATATCTCCTTACGACACATACAACGCGGGAAAAATTTTTTATATATAATTATATTAAATAATTGTGTAATTATAATTTTGCGAAAAATAACAAAAATTGGGTACATGCTAAAAATGTAGCATGTAGACACCCTATATATACATATTTGTAAACAAAATCGTGTGCGCGCAATGACATATATTTGCGCGGGATGGTTCACTTGTCACGCGGTACGTACTATACGTGCTTACACGCAGTGCGCGACTCGACCGTTATAACGTGTGATAACGTGTCGAATATTGTGATAGATAGACATACTGTGATATTTTAAAAGTAATATTTTTATATTTATTAAATATATAGTGTATAATGGGTGCAAACAAAAATAAACGTTTGCCCCTATCTGGTCGCAGATTGAGTAGAAAGGGAGCATGTTTTAAAAGGTTAGTATTATGTCATATCATAAAATTGATTCAATATCAGAATTACTGTTACATACAGCACAAATACACAAAATATTACATACCTATTTATTATGCACATAAATGTATATAACGATTAGATAGACAAAAAGAAAAAGAAATATATATATATATATATATATATATAACATTATAAACAGTACAAATAACATTAATTATATACATCTATTTGTTATACACATACATGGATATAATGAATAAATTAATAGATACAGAAAGCTGAAGAAAAAAAAGAGAAAGATAGTGAGTATGAGTTCTCTAGCCTCTTTACATTATAAATATATATCATAAAGCAATATATATATGTATATATACATACACACATACATGTATACATACATAATAATATATTGCTTGTCGACGTTTATAAAAAGGCTCACTCGTTCGCTCTCTTTCTATTTATTTCTTTTTCTTCTATTTCTTTTTTTTTGTCTAATCGTTATATACATTTATGTGCATAATAAATAGGTATGTAATATTTTGTGTATTTGTGCTGTATGTAACAGTATTATGTATGCTGTATGTATTATATATATATATATATATATATATATATATATATATATATATTATAATAGTGCGCATGATATTTGAGACGTTTCTGATAATTAAAAAATTTATATTGTACAAATGAATTTGTTTCAAAGCTATTACGTAACAGAAAAATTAAAAAAAAAATGTTTTCATGAAAAAATGAATGTCATAATTTTTTTTTAAATAAAAGCATCATATTCAATCTAAATCAATTTGTTACAATATTCTGCATCAAAAATTATAAAGATAAAATTGTGAAAAAGTGAAAAGTTTACGAGATATTTGAGTTTTAGAGAAAATATGTAGCTGCTGGTTTACAATTTATATCTTTATTTATATCTGTGTTTTCTTTACACCAATTGATTTAAAATTGGAATAAAATAATCAGAAAATGATTTCATGAGATATTTCATAGTTTATGTACATTATGAAAGTATAATATATCTCATAAGCTATTCGCTTTTTTTGGCCATCCTACATTACAACTTATGCAGAATATTGAGAATCGATTTATATAAAAAATATGATTTTATTTAAAAAAATTCAAGGTAACACTAATTTTTTTTATAAAAATTTTTTTTCCTCATTTTTTATTGCTTGTAATAGATTGCACAAAACAGATCAATTTTTACAATATATATTTTTTTCTAAACTGTTGCAAACATTTCAAAAATCGTACGTATTGTTATGCTGAACATCGTATTAATATATATATATATATATTGATACATATATATTGATATATATAGTTGGTGTAAAGAAAACACATATTTACCTTTAAAAAAAATATGAAAATTGCAATAAGCAGTTAGATAATTTTTCTTTAAGACAACTATGTGTTTTCTTTACACCAATTGATTCGTCTCATTATTCTGTGCATAAAAGTATTAAGGTATGATAATCGAAAAATGAATATTTCCCAAGATATTTTCTATTTTATGTCAAAATACTGCAAATTTGCAGCCTTATAACTCGAAAAATACTTAATGAAAAAATATTTTATTGTAGTGTTTTGGAAAGATCTTAAAGTCAGCTATAAAAGTATGCAAGAAAAAATATAGTGTTCCATTTAAGAAATTGAAGTTGACCGTCACGTAACCTTCAAATGGCTATTCAAGGTCAAATCAATGACACCATCTCATGTCCCCCTTGAAACCATACAACTTTTATCTGAAACATTTTTGTCTTAAACTTTTGAATTTTGAGAAATTTTAGTGCAAAGATTAAAATGGTTTACCCTGTATATAAATATATATATACATATATATATATATATATATATTGTATGTATGTATGTATGTAGGTGTAATTTTATAAGAACATTCAAATAGACGTTTAAAATGCAATTTTTATTTTATTTTTAATTTTTATTTTAATTTTTTTTTATTAAAATGCAATTCTCAATTTTTTTTATCTGAAAGATAATGCAATCCTTTGTTTATTTTTTCATGTATAATTGATAATTATTATTATAGTTTTTATAGTAGTTAGTGCCAGAGGCGGTCTATTCGTGTGCTGGTTTAAAAAATAATTCCAGAGGCGATCTATTCGTGTGCTGGTTGTTTTAAAACTGTAATTCCAGAGGCGATCTATTCGTGTGCTGGTTGTTTTAAAACTGTAATTCCAGAGGCGATCTATTCGTGTGCTGGTTGTTTTAAAACTGTAATTCCAGAGGCGATCTATTCGTGTGCTGGTTGTTTTAAAAAATAATTCCAGAGGCGATCTATTCGTGTGCTGGTTGTTTTAAAAATAATTTCAGAGGCGATCTATTCGTGTGCTGGTTGTTTTAAAAAATAATTCCACAGGCGATCTATTCGTTTGCTGATAACTGTACAAAATATTTTACCCCAGATGCAGTTTGCATGTGCGCAAAATTCTCAGAAGCGATATTGCAATGTTGAAACTTTATAACTTATCATGTGATAGTGACTTTCACGTAATCTTTATGACTGTGCAAGGTCAACACTAATGGTACTATTTTATAGTTCCTTTGAAACCGTATAACTTTTGTTGTTTTATTATAAAATGCATTGAAACGAAGAGATATTAGGGGTAGTAAAAATGGGACACCTTGTATAAATACACACACACATACATATGTGTATATGTATGTGTAACAACCTGTGTATATATAATTTTTATATAATTATAAATTATATAAAATGGGACACCCTGTATATGTATGTGTGTGTCGATTGACAACTTTTTTATTGCGACATCTATAGAGTTTTGTCGATAATTATATTTAAAAAATCTTCATTATCGACCCTATCGGAGTTCGCCCGTGCATTTAGGATCCCCTTAATTCTACTTATAGTTTTTATAACAATGATTTTAAATATGATTAACTTCTTTTAATCTTAGAACGATCTTATGTCTCGCTTACCGTAATGCCCTTTAGTCGAGATATTAGGGTTATCTTGAAATCTGCAATTATTTCTTTGGAAATTTCTTTAGGATGTCTCCTAATCGAGACATTACCGCAACGGCTGCATTTTTTTCTATCGACAAGTTCTGCTTCCGTGTAGGACTTCATTTCTGGTCTCGTCTGCGCTCGGCGACTTGACTGCTTTGGCGAGGTTATTGTGTCATATCGATCGGTTGAATTCCTGTGCGGAATCCAATTTTGATGACAGCCCGCTGATAATCTTCTAGGAGGATTTTTCAACGCTTGAGCCGTATACAGATCTTCTTCCGACATCGCTTCATGGATATCGCGATCGAGTACGTTGCGATAATACCTAATCACATGAATACTTCGCAGAAAATTGTCATATCGATGATAGATGAATTGTCATATAGATGATTTATCATGGAGCTGTTTAATTATTACATATCCCGTTTATAATGTGCTTTATGCCTTTAATTTCTGATTCATACTACTTTGTCATGTATAATTCATTTAGTTCTCCATTAGCTTTGAATAGACCATCCACGTTATAGTATGATTATACTAACATAAATTGAAAATTAGAATAAACCAATTTATTTAATTAAAATAAAACAAATCTAATTTTTATAAATAAAACAACAACAAATGTACCTTTTCAAATAAATTTTCAATTTCTCAAGAGAAATAATCTATAATAAATCCTGTTTTATTTTAATAAAGACATTGTTTGCTAAATTAAATGTTTTAAATAATATTGACGTATACAATATTTCATGAATTTTTATACTACAAACCTTGTTGGTGAAGGATGAGCTTGATACAGTTTTGGTGAATATTGAGAGTAATGAACTCTATGCGGATTTTGTTGTTGATTAATTATTTGCATTCGTTGCTGCGTTCGCAGCGAAGCATCTTTCTTAACTGTATTTCGTTGTATCGCATGTGGTTCAGCAAGTGCATCAGATTCTTCATCTACCTCGTCGTCTGCTTCCTGTTCATCGTACTCCTTGTTGAGAGACTCACCGACCCTTTCTTGATCGTTTTCTGCTGCAGTAATATATTTTGTTTTGACAAACTAAATATAGTAGCAAAAAGATTTAAAGTTTTTACTGTCTTTTTATAATCACATATATAATTATTTTGTATAACATAATATATGCTATGTTTTTTATATATATAATTATTAATTTTCATTTTTTAAGAATCAACATCAAGGTTTTTATGATTTTTTTATGTTTTGTATGTTCATATATACAATAATAATTTTAAAATAATTGGTGATAGTTTTTTATTCTTGTATTAAATTATATATGTGAATGGATCTATTAATTATTATTCTCTTAATATTTATTCGAAAATACATAATAGAATTTTGTAGAGAATAAAGAAAAATCAATTTTATCTTTATATTTCATACCTTCCTCTTCAACATCATCCTCTAGATTATCTTCCGTAAAATTTCCTAATTCTTCATCAATGTATTCTACATTGCTATCATCTTCTTGTCGATTCTTATATCGATCTTTGTTTACCACAGCAACATTGTTAGTATAATCTTTATTTTTACCAGATTTCGTAGTATTTTGTTGATATAGCTGCGGTACTTCCGTAAGACCAGAGGGATATTTCAAATGCATCGAACGTGGATAAGAATTACGTTTAAGAGTCTTGTATGAATTTGCGGAGGAATAATAGCTCACCGTCGGTTCTGATATAGGATTCTGATGACGTCTAAAAATGGAACTGCTTTGAAATTACTTTCATTAAATATTATTAACTATTTGCCGAACAATATGAATCCGTTTTTTAACATTAAATATTAAAAATTTATGTGATTAAGATTTTTTGTATAAATTTAGATATTGAATCTTTCACACGTGCGAATATAATGTAATAATATAGACATATTATCAAAATTCTCGATAAAAATATCATATATATGTGTGTATGTATGTATGAATGTATTAGTATGCATATAAAATTATGTATTGCGCACATTTTTTTCTAAATTAAAAAATTTGGTTAAAGTTACCTAGTGTTTTTATCATTTGCTTCTTGAGTATTTCTTTGTAGATATTTCCAATATTCCTCGGGTAAAATTCTAGCATCAGCAGGTTTTTTAGTAGGCCACGAAGATGTATATGGTGAAGTGTACTTTGTCTTATTTCTTCTAATTTGTTCCATTTTCGTTCGATAGCTTGTATAGATATTTAAACGTTGTCAAAAAATGCGTTGAATTTTTCTCATGCTTTGCAGTTTATCTTCATTAAATTTTCTTCTTTATGGTTCATTACATTTCTATTCACACTGCTTGTTTCTCCCTTCCTCTCTCTCCTTCTCTCTCTCTCTCTCACTCTCTCTTTGGCACACATTTTTTTATTAATGTTTAATATATTTTTAAATTTAATTTAAATTTGATTTACACGTATAATAAAGTACGCAGTTATTGATTTATGAATATTTTTACAATTTTTTAAAAAAACACAAGATGCCTCATTAAAAGTATCAATTTAACTTGAAAATTTTTAACTAAAACATATGAAACAAACAATTAAAAAATTGAAAGCTTACTTTGGCACTATCAAGATCGTTATTTTTTGTCATACACAGTTCTTTGTTACAATACACAATCCATATAATATCTTAAAGAAGTCTGCTCAAAGATTCACAGTATGATATATCAAGGCTGCACAGAAGATATGAAGAAGGAATGACACGATGTAAACACTTGACAAGAAGTTATTAAAAACGGTATTTTTTTAGAAGATTGACAAGTACACGTTCAAAGTCTCGTTTATGATTATATTGGTGTGGAATGATCTCTCGGTTTCCTAGTACGACGAAAGAAAAGGCATGGAACAGTTGCGTAGTTAAACAAGAAGAAATAAAACGACAATCACGGTAAAGAAACGCGTAGATCGTAAATTCCTATTTCACCATTTGTCGGTCTCGTTGCTATCCTCGTGCTCCAAAGAGGTATTCAAAGTGCGTTGAAATTCGTGCACCCTCTGACTTTGTTGCTCGTGATGCAATTTTCGCCACTTGATGCGACGATTCTGAAACCAGACTTTGACTTGGGCCTCGGTCAATCGAAGTGCGTGAGCCAAGTATAATCTTTCGGGGCCCACCATGTATTGTTGACGTGCAAATTCGCCTTCCAGACGCTCCAATTGCTCCGCCGTGAAGATTGTTCGCACCCTTTTTACTTTTCCGCCCCCACTAGAACCAGAACTCGAGCTACTGTTTTTTGTTGTGCTTTCTTGGCCTGAAAAGACACCAAATAAACGTCAAAAATAACGCAATAAAAATCAGAACTAATTATAAAGAGAAAGACCTAATTCAAAAATCGTTTAGACAAAAAATTCAATAATGTTGAAATTATTAGAAATGTTATAAAAGACGTTAAAAATACAATATATATTTCAGAGATAATTAGTATTTTTAATAAGGTTAAATTTTATATATACGTCGAACGTTTCTATTCTAATACATTAAAAAATTGCAAAAGTGTTTTATCGTGTAAAATATATATATATACATATTGTACCTTGAGTTTTAAATTACGAGATTTTGTTGCTTTGACATAAGAAATTTAAATATTTGACATATATATATGCCTGCTAAAAACTAAAATTTATCTGAAGTCAGTTACACATACACCCAGATGTTCAATAATCATAGGTTACACAAAGAAGCATTACGATTGTTTTTTATTTAATCGAATAATATGTTACATAGGACGTCTTATTAGAAATAAAAATTTACAATATTTCTATACTATTTCTTTGGGAATCATTTTTGATGCAAAATAATAATTTATTATACGTTATAGACAAGATCAAGCAAATTCTAAAAAATGTATTGCGTTAATAGTATAAAAAGGTGTTGCATAATTAATTAATTAATTAAATTAAAACTTCTTTTATTTTTTACTTTCATTTTTGATTACATTAGAGAAAATTATAGACAAAAAATGGAATTTGCAGTAGGCAAAACCAATGAAGAGATTGATGCAAAATTAACATTAAAATAATTGACACGAAATATTATAAATATATAATACCCTGATGTTTTCTGTACTGCTGTTGTTGACTTCGCTTCTCTCGCTGATTATTCCTCAGGCCTAAAATCGCGTCGATAGTGAAGGATTTAGCTTGTTGCTGCTGTTGCTGTTGAGAGTGCTGCATATGCGTGATTGAATGCGGATGTGGCACTTGCGTCGACAGGCTTTGCGCGGATAATTCCGTACTCAGGAGATGCGAGCGTCTCATGCGTTCCAATGCTATGGTTTCGAGGTCGGGGTTCCTTGGTTGCACTTGCAAGTTTCTGAATTCCTTGTGTTCCAGCATGCTCGGATTCTCTAGCAAACCGGCGCCGCCGCGCAGCCTCTCCAGAGCTAGACTGCTAATGTGGCTGTCTCTCATTCTGTCTAAGGAAAAATTGAACTCCTTCATGCGATCGAGACTATAATTTTTGAGCAAGCCAAAGTCCTTCATCTCTTTCTCCACTACAAAATTGAGATCCTTGCTGTATCTGTCTAAGGAGGATAATGATGTATGAGGACTCTTTTGCTTGGTCTCGCGCAAATTAAACAATACGTTCTTGGAGCTGGAGTTTTTGGATCTGCAAAGCGTCGTCGTAGCATCTGACGATTCTTCGTTCTCGTTCGATCTGTCCAGTGAATAATTAATTTCATTCAAGTTATTGGCAGAATAACTGAAATCTTTAGTCTTATTCAGTGTCATAGTCAGATTTCTCGTTGGATTTTCGCATGAAAATTCGTCGAATCGAAGAGATGTTCTTCCACCGCCTTCAAGATTAAGATGAAAATCCTTCGGTTCCGTTGATGTATCTTCTTCAGTTTTATCAATGGACAGATTCAACTCTTTAATGCGCTCATAACTTTGAAACGCTCTTAATTGCGATTCCGAATGGCTACTGTCGCTTATACAATCCGATAAGTCTTCCGCCGTTAATCTGCCCGACGGGTCGTTCGTCTCCATTGTAATTTTGGAAACTATTCTTTTTTCTCAATATATATATTTGTCGCACGTTAATACTACAGATAATATTGATCAAGCATTCATCTTTTGATCGTTATTAACCACCCATTAAATTATTTCATTATTTTGTCAAGATTGCGTTAATTTAATTTTAGACAGTATCTTTATAAAGTAATTTACAATTATTATAGATCAATAAATTACGAATTTTGTTAGGACATTATATCAGTGTAAATATTTATCACAAATTCTTTTCTCTTTCTTTTCAGCACGTAGCTGAATATTCTAATCAGTTTTTCTTCTTCACCATAATCAACAGTTTTAATCGTCACTATCAGGATTACAGTCAAACGAAATCACTTGCTTCTAGTCAAATAAATTACGCCATTCCTATCGTCACATAGATTTACCTCAATGTACACTATCGAAAAATCAAAAGGTGATCAAATCACTATCACAATCACGTCCATTGTCACGCAACTATTATTCCGTCGTGAAAAGTAAATTTGTTTACTATCACGATTTTTGTATATTCACTGTATAACAATTAACTGTACATCACTCGAGCCGGATCGATAGATTAATACGAATGAGATGAAGGAGAGAGCGAGGAAGATGCAAAAGACGCGAGAAGAGAACGTAGCAGTATCGAAAGACCGAATAGCAAATCCGTCTACGGCGAGATATGGTCGGACCGCGTTGGCGCTCCGCAGCATCCAAGGATAATGATGTCAAGCACGAGGATCACCGCTATCGGATAGGGTTGGCCAACGGGACCAAGGATATCCAGCTAATGATCCCGTACGTGACGAGGAGGGTATTCACCCGCCGCCTCATGAGCCCCCTTCGCCCGCCCGCCACCCTTAACAATCAGTCGACCGTTATGTTTCACCTCCGCAACCCCCAAATGGACCGCAGGATACCCCCTCGTACGGTCAATATTTTTTATTCGATAAGAGAAGGCCGGGGTGCGCGTCGTTCCCGGATCCTGGTTGGCCGGATTCTGCCATCACTCCCGTCTCCGAGACACGCCTACCGCGAGCATCGTGGGGGTTATTTGCGGGGAGTCTGTTACTTTTTCTACCCTCTATCTCTCGAGCCATCCAGCTAGCATCTACCGCCGCTGGCTCGCAACCCGTTCTTCCTCGTCGTCATCCTGCGAAAGCTTTCCCCCATCCTTCCTTACAAGCACCCATTAATAAGCTTTCGCCTAGACCGACGTAGCTCACTTCGAGATGTTCGTACCGACACCACCAAGCTTCCGGGAAGAGGCATACCTGCAAAGACGAGCGCGTGCGTGAGCGTAGTTAGCGCCTTACCTCGACCGCTCGTGTCATCCGCGGCAGCAGTGTCATCCGCGTCTAAGACCTTCCGGTAATTAGGTCCTAATGATGATGAGGTAGTTTAATTTTGTTCGGATGATCTTTCTTACCTCGTCTTGGATTGAGATAGTCTTCAGCATCGAAGAGTTCACTCGCTATGGATTATTGGGAGGAATTTCACGCAATTTATCTTGCGAAATTTCACGCTGACTTGAGGAATTCTTGAGCTAATTACATGGAGATGATACTATTATAATAAACGTTAATTAATTAGAGAAAATTATTATAAAATAAAAACGTATCAAATATATTTATCTGCGGAATTATCAACACAAAATCATACATAAGCTAATACAGAATAAACAAATACTTTTGCGATTGATTTTTTATATATGTTTTATAAAAATTTGTAACTAATAAAATTTTTGAAAATATATAGATATATATTTTTCTTTTAAGAAGTACATTTTTCTCTCGATTCTAAGTGATATCCATCTGAAAGCAACATAAAATTCTTAAGCATCAAGAGAAATGTATTGCGATAAATGTATAATGCATATTTATCTGTAGCTTTTCTATAATTAAATTAAAATTGAGGGACATAAATGCGCAATGGCGATCATCATTATTAACATATTCTAAAGATGTCGAGGTAAGTAGGTTCTCCTTAATTGCCTCATGCCAATCTGAAACTTCATTCACAATCCCCTCATTAGACGTTGACGGGTATGCGAGAATTTCAGTGCCTTGGAAAACCTCTAAGGAGGTTACACTCGAGAGTAAGAGCTTAATTACATCAAGATTTTACGTCATGTTTTGTTTCTGCACACATAGTCTTATCTGCTCGTCGACATAATAATATGTCTTAATAATATGTAGCGTTCAATTTCGAAATTTTGTAATTGAATAAAATATATAAATTTAATAATTTAATGTAAATAATTTTATATTAATTTTATATTATAAATATAAAGCAAACTAATGTATATAATGATATAAAAAAATATTAAAATGTTAAAATATTTTATATTAGGAAATGTACATGTTCACGAAGTAATATAAAGTAGTCAAACATTTATATTTTAACAATATAAAAATTATATTTACTTATGCAATTCTGCATATCATTAATAAATTTATGTATTCTGTCTTTCACAAAGTAGATGTACGCGTGAATAACATCTCTGATAAAAGTTTTACGCTCAAAGAGTCGTTATAAAGTTAAAATTAAGCTATAAATTCCAAATTTACCTCAGCTATTCTTTAACTATTTCACAGACCAGTTCGTAATTGCATCGTATATTATATTTCTTATTACACAAACACTTTGCCGTAAACTTTTATCAATGAATTTAATATCAATAATCTTTGTTTTCTTTCATTCTTTTTCGCAGATCCAAGAATATCTATTTATTAAATAAAAAATGTTTTTTTGTGTAAATTAAAATATTTATATACTTTTATCCAAATTAAATTGAAAATAATTGAAGCAGTATTTTTAAATATTTTATATTTTTGAAATATGTAGATTATTGTCTTATATCAATTTTATATTCTTTTCTCATAAAAATATATTATTTATAAATTAAATTTATTATTCAATGATATATGTACATATATAATTTCGACATATTTAATATTATTTATACATAATAATCCCACCAACATTTGGTATTCAGACTTCGCAACACACACTTGAAATATCGGGGAAAAGGACTTGTTAAAACGATAATCATGCTCAAATGTCGCATAACTTGGCATCTCAGACCAATCGCCTTGCATATCTATTGGTCAACAGCGAAGAATCGTTTCAATTTTATATTTTAATATTTAACTAACTTTGTATTTTAACATCTAACTTTATATTTTAATATTTAATTTTATGTATTGATAAAGACTGTAGTGCAGTCGAAACGTTTACAATTTATATCGATTCTGTAACGGAATGTTAATTTAATGATTTAACTATTAATAAAAAAATTTTTTACATCTTATTTATTTGCTCGTTTAGTTGGCCTACTATATATGATTGTTTAATTTTGTTTAATTTATACGAGCCTTTCATTAATTAATCATAATAATCCCTTTTAGAAAATAAAAATTAGACATATGTATATGTCAAATCTTTAGAAAAGAACGTCATCAAGTTAATTTCTCCACTACCTTATTTTCACATTGCTCTCTAGTAATTATCAGCTTTTGGATATAAGAAGATTCTCTCTCGAGGGAAAGCAAAAGCAGGGTCGAATAAAATTGGCGACAAATGTATAAATTAAATGGTAGTCCGCGCCGTGGTGGGGGTTCGAAAGAATTTCTATTGAAGCTCGATACCCACCCTCTTGATCTCCGACCAAATGACTTGCGACTCACCCTTATTACGGCCTGAAATTTATCACGGAAATTCGTGGAGTATTTTACCCGGATAATTGCTCCGCTTTATAAGAGCCACCCTTACGAGCCAATATATAAGACAAAGACGATCTGGCACGACTTCTATTCGCTTCAGCAAGTTTGATTCGATGTGCAGGCAACTTAATGCTTAAATAACAAATATTATAACAAGAATATTTTTAATTCGTATTTTATGATGTAACCTATTAGAGAAAATTGAATTTTAAAAGATTTGTGTATATGTATAGTATTAAAAAAAAGATTTTAAATATATATTAAATCAATTTTGTGCACTTATACATATATATATATATATATATATATATATATATATATATATATATAATAATCGGTTTTACAATAGCTGGAATAAAAAAGTTAGAAAATTAAAAATTAAGAGTTAATGCTATATATATAAATAATGTACAAATGCACTATACTTACTATTAGCAAATTTCCAAGTCAAATTATACAAAAATAAATAAAAAAATTATACAAAAATATTATTACAATCACGATAATTGAAACAAACTCTTGCATTTATGAAATTTTCATATTTTATCAATTATTAATAAATTCAATAAATCTATCAACCATTCTCTTCACAATATCTGTTGGTCGTTAGTAACGAGAAGATCATTACCCAACAAAATATCAATTTTTACGGTAAACAGTATGCTATTTGTGTTATCTATTGTTTCTAAATTGAATCTGTATCTGTATAATCTATAGCCTAAACGTACGCTCTCGTTGCTGCATACGCGGATGCTCGTGTAAAATTTGCGAACGCATAGTGCCGTACGCACCCCCGCTTCGCTCCTTCCTTCCCTTCCCGAGCAGGAACGTAGGAACGTAGGTATTGCGATCGACACATACAAAGCAAGCTCTCCCTTCTCTGGACTCGACAGCATTCTGCTGCCTTACAACCAACTACCATTCTCCCCGGTCCCTCTTCACCGCCTTGGTTCCCCTTTTGCCGCATCCTCCTCTTCCTCTAGCTTTCATTCCACATGCGATATTAAAGCCAAGGCAATTAACGGTGGGGGTTGTTGCGAGAGATGGCGAGGGAGTGCGACAGTTTCAGCTGGGTTTCGCAGCCATCCTCCTGGTGGGGTTGTCTCGGATATGATTGGTTGTCAGCAGGGGTTAATCCCTGGGCCCGGCCACACCCCGGCATATCTCAATCCACCCCCGCGAATCCAGCCGGCCGAGCTTTCCGCCCGGAATCCGCTGAAAACGAGGGTGAAAACGCAAGCAGGAAGGATATACCGAATATTTCCAAAGCGTTGGATAAGTCGAGCTCCTTAAGCGTGAAGGAGATAATTTCGAGCAGATGATAGCATTATTGGCCAAGAAAGACGGTAAGCATGTATGCTCGTTTTTAATGATGTAATAGTTAATATTTCATTACGCGAAAATGTAAAATATGCAATTATATTTTACGAAAAATTATGTAAGAAAAAAAGATTTGCATCTTGTTGGAATCTATTCTATACGCAAAAAATGTAACTAAAAACACAATTAATTGGTTACTTGAAAATATTTGGTTAAATAATTATTTAAATGATCTTACATTACTCATTTTCTCACATTACTAATAATAAATATAAAATTTATAAATTGTTAGAAATAACGTTTTTATTAAACTGAATCATAATTTAAAGTTATTAATCTAAAATCTAATACCCAAAATAAGATTGTTTCTAAAGAGATAAACACTTTATTATTACTTGATAAAAAAACATTATAAAGTTATGTCACAAGCTTATATATATTTTTGGAGCTTATAAATCTAAATTATTAATTTGGATACAAGAATTTAATGTATTCTATATGTAAAATAAAACGCAAAAATATATTAACAAATCAAGCATTAATTAATATGCAAAATAAATTTCATATATTCTATTGTTGTTCACATAATTGAAAAAACTTGTAACTTATGCAGTCTTCTAAATATAAAGACGAAATTACTTTGCTCCAACTGTTTTTATAAGTGGCAAAACTCAATATTGAACAGCTAGAGCGTAATTTAGATGAAAACCGAACAAAGTTTGCAACTTTCATCAACTCTGAGAAGATTGTAATAAAAATTCGATGTCAGAAAAAGGGAAGATTAAAATTTAAAATATAACTTGATAAGTAAGGGTTGACCAAGCAAAAAAAGAAGTAGCATAATAAATCAGAATATAAAAAATTTTTATTTTATAAAATTAAATTCTAGTTAATTATTATATTCAATATAAAAAAACTGTTAATCTCGGCTCAAATTATTGTGTTACAATAAAAATAAAATCTCGACGGCAATCGGAGCCTGTGCGGATGACATGCACAAAATTAATAAATTAAAATGAGATCTCAAGTCAAACTCATTTATTAAAATCTAAACGTTTCGACCCCACTTCGGTCTTCTTCAGTAGCTGCAAAATACAAAGAAACAAAAAAATAAAAGATAATCGGTACAATCAGAAAATTATAAAACTCGTATACATACAATCCGCAAATAAATTAAATATCATTCTCCTCCCTATTCGAACCGTCCGGTCGTCGGAGTGTCTCCCTAACGGTGACCATCGTCAGGAAGGAAGCAGAGCAGTGACTCCCTTACCAACACTAATCAACATAGTATAAATTAAACGTGTAAGATCCCCAAGAATTATAAATTAAAAACCGGGAAGAACACTCACCCCGACAGCAAAAACAGAGAGAAGACGATGCTACACGTGACACATCACTCTAACGACTGTGCGGTATTCTACCTCGACACAGTCGATACATATATACGCAAAAAAAACACAAAAATAAAATATGAAAATAAAAATAAAAACAACTAATACTTATCGGCACTCATGTCAAAGGTCTAACGAAAAAATCCGGTTATGTCTAATCACAAAGCTAGATTTTGGTAAATTTTTCAATTAACAGATCAAAATTCTCGTTTAATTTGTCGGTATCGCTATGTAAATTTAAACTATTCTTCTGACGCTTAATGTGGATCATTTCGGATATCAAACGTTTACCTAAAAAAGGCTCCTCATCCAAGATTTTTACATCCTCCCAATTAAATTCATGGTTCAATAATCTATGTTCCGATATGACTGATAATTGTGACGCGTTTCTTTTTATGTTGCTGCGATGTTCTTTCATCCTAGTTTTCAACAATCTACCCGTCTGCCCTACATACGACGCATCACAATCCATACAATCAATTTTATAAACTACATTGTTATGGAGTTCCCTTGGTAACTTATCCTTGTGTACTTTGATGAATTTACGGAGACTGTTAATTGCTGTATAGGATGGAATGACATCCAAATCACGTGTAATGTCCTCGATTCTCTTTGATACATTATTGATATACGGAATATTAAAGTACGAAACTTTTTTCTGCGTTGGAATCTTGTCATTGCATATATTTGTTCTATTGTTATGCAACTTATTATTGTACCGGAAGAACAACTTTTTAACCGCGCTTGTAATGTTTGAAATATCAATTTGAGAGGATAATATTAGACAAAAGAACTCCAATCATAGACTCAAAATTATCTTTATGGAATTTCGGATGAGATAGCCAAAAAACTCTATCTATGAGGCTGATAATGGTGCCTTTTTTATGGCAGAGAGGATGCTGCGACTCAAAATTTAAATATCTACCTGAATACGTCGAATATTTAAATTTTGAGTAGAGAATATTTTATTAATTATATGCTTTGCGTAATATAATTTACTTTTTATAATTTCAATGTTTAAACAAACAAAAATGTTGAAATATTATTTATTAGTTTTAATATATATGTTTCTTTTTTGTGGTGTGTGTGTGTGTATGTGTATGTAACAATAAAAATATATATCATATTTAATTATTTAATAAATAAAAAGTTTTAATATAAAAATGAGCCGAAACGTTCGTTGTTAACTACTACTATTCTAATAAATAAAAGTATAAGATTTATAATTTGCACCCTGTTTACTGTTATAACGAAAAATATTAATTTATTGATATACGATATCTACAATTATTTTATTTTTTTTGTAATACTTTATTGCAATAAGAAAGCATATATATAATAAAGAAAAATTAAAATTAAGTAAAAAATTAAGAAAAATATATTTAAAATATAAAAATATTAAAATTATGTTTTTATTTTGATATGTTTCTTATATATATATATATATATATATATATATATATATATATATAATGTTTATATGCATACTTATAATCAAGTATAACGCATAAAGCGATATCAATAGCATACTATACCGGAAACCGCAATATCGACCTTGGGTAATCCCCTATTTTTTCTGCACATATTTAACGAGAATCACAGTTTATTTTAATGTGGTTTTAATTTATTTTAATAATATTCTTAAATATATAATATCTAATTTTAGAATTAACACTTTTCGTTTCAAAAAATAATCAAAATTATTATTTTAATTAAAATATAAATAATATATAATATCAATATAATTAATTGTTAAATATAAAAATTAAAATTTTATGTTTCTCAATTTTACCTGAAATGCATAAAAATACAATGCTAAAAAGTTCTGCTGCCGAATAAATAAAAGCATTAGTGAAATCATACACCCCTCTTCTAGCACGTGCACAATCAGTTGGGATCCCCAGTTGGTGAGAGTGAGCTTGGTAGTATGGAAACTGTTCAGTGCCACTTTTTCCTTCATAGGGTTCACATACTACATAACCAGCGCCACTCCAGCAATTTTTTTAATATTGTATCATTATTAATTTGCCATAATAACATGCATTATTTAAAGCATGAATTTATAGATTAATATTATAAAATAATATTAATATCAAGATAGTTAAAAAGCCATAATTTTTATATATTAAAATCGTACATGTATGTGAAAATGTGTGAAGGTGACAGAAGTTTGTGCTTCAGAAGAAGGTTGGAAATTTTCAGAGAACGCGCGCGCGTATCGGTGCAAAATAATTCATAATGTGCTAAATATAATCATGTTGCGAAATCCCATAAAACTAAAACTTTATCACAAGAGTGTCCTCCGAAAAATCATTTGAAAGTATTAGATAATAAAACAAATATTAAACAAATAAACGCGTCGTCTGTTATTTGTAAAGAAGAATACTTAACTAATAGAAATCTGTCAATTATGACTGATACGCAGCTCGAATCGGACGTCGTGGACAATGCTCATCTACGACAAAAACACGTCAGTACCAAAACATCGAATTCATCATCCAGCACAGATTCGCAAGATTCATATATTTTAATAGTGTCTGAAGAAATGCCTGTGGTATCAAAAGATACTAACTGGGAATACGTAGATTATTGTGATATTACTGAAACTATGCAAAGTAACAGTACTATGAAAAAGTATTGTAGTCCTAAATGTAGCAGCGCTTGGTTTCTAAAAATTCGCCGCGAAATTATGAAGAATCGCCGCAATAAAATTCATCCTCTAACAGTTAATAGGTAAGTTTATGAAAAATCTCTCTTTTACGTTCTTTCTTTTTAATATTAAAATTCTTAATTGCTTTTTTGTGTATATTCAAAGAGTATAATAAATTAATAATCAATATCACTTCTTTAATTTTACTAAAAAGTTTACTTTTATTATATTATATTAACAATAGTCACATACTGTTACATAAAAATCAGAAGATTACATCGAAATCGCTAGATTATATAAAAAGGATACAAACACATATTTGAAAATAACATTGAGATTTATCTCATACCAAGGTTTACTGATATATAATATATGGTGCCGTTATTTATAGACTATTATGATTCTAGGTACATAATAAGAAATATGTGTCAGTTAAAGAGATAGATTTGTTTTTAAATGCAATTATCACGTATACACATTGTTATAAAATTCTATTCATAACGTTAATAATTACTGTTGTTATCAATTAGATGGTGATACATCATAATTTCCAGAAATTCGCTATTATCGCTAAGTTGTATCTTATGCAGAATTGTTAACGTCCGTATGTATAAAAATAGTCTATCCGCCCACATTCAAACGTGGCGGATGTTCTATTGTGATAATGCAATTTCTCACGGTCTTTTACGAAGATATTTGCTAGATTGCACGTGGCAGAGGAGTTTAAAGACCCTTAAAAGCGCGAACAGTAAACCACCGGTGAAGGCTTGCTTCACGCAGGGAAACACACGTGGATGAGTCATCCAAGTAAATAGTAGTTTTGAAGTAACAAGCGCGTGTGCATGGTTGAGTAAACAGCAAAAAATAGGAAACTACACTGCACGTTTTGTGTGTCCCATGATTTTGATCATTTCTAATTGGGTTTATGGTATATTAAAGCCATAAATATTTTAACTAAAATAATTTTATCTTATAATTGTAAAATTGATAATTATTATGCAATTGATTTTAAATTAAAATATGATTTTTATTGAAATAAATTTCTGATTAATAATTATCCTACTTATAATAATAAGCATATATGTATATATTCTATCTAGATTGTATATATATTCTTATTATGCTATCCAAAATTTATATTTTATTATATAATCTCTCCATTATAGTATTAAAAATGTACAATATTACATTACGCACACAGACAATCTTTTCAAGTATCGTACTTTAACTTATTGCTATTGATTTGTTAATTTTTGTATCATGATGAACGTATGCAGAAGCCAGAAGCAATACACATTTAATATTATCGAAAAATATCTTCATCACGTAAAGTTAGATATTTGTTACGTAGTCACGTATATCTTTTATTCAGCCCTGCACGAGCAAATGTACGTGCGTCGCGTGCAGGCGTGCGCGACGCTCTTGCGCAGCACGTGTATGTGGTGGACTTCCTGCAAGCATCGAACCTGAACGCAGTAGGGTTCACGACTTCGTGATTCGATACGCCTTTTGTGCCTATTCTCTGGAAAACAATACTTTCAACCTGTCGGATAAGAACATGAGGCTTTCAATGGCGCGATGTGTCGAATAATTATTTCGGTTTTATCTCTATACTTACGCGAATCGCAACACAAGTGCAAAAGACCCATACATAACTTTTTCTTTCATCATCGATAATTATTATTAATAGTTAGTCGATTAAAAGTTGGGAGAGATTTATTAAAACGCAGAAACTAATAAAGAAGAATAAAGTAGTTGAATGTGTATATCTATTATACATGCGCGATCACAAATTTGTTACAGTTTTAATCCATTTTAGATAATACGATATTTTAACATAAACACCAGGAACTTTTCCACAACCTTCACCAAAAGATACGATGCCGTAAATCGTCCTTTTATTAGCCAATGCTCCTCCGGAATCTCCGAAACAGGCATCCTTTCCTGAACTTCCATAGCATAGATGATAATCTTTTTGACGAGTATTTTGTAAACAAAAGAGACCTCAATGCAGGTTTCAAATGGAACATATTCCACGTAAACACCCATAAGAGTTTTGGCTATATTTTTCTATAAATTACATTAAATCACTGTATGCATATATTTTCGAATAACACGTGAATTAATAAATAAAGAAATTCAATAATATTAAAAATTTAAGTAACATCTTATTTTTTAAATGCTCAAAAATTTCAAAAATAAGCTGTTTTTCTTTAAGTTATAAACAATATTTATTGTCATAAAATGATTAATTGCATAAAGGTATTATAAATTAAGCTTACTCACTTCTACAATATTTTTATATCCCCAACCACAAACTAAGAGTTGACGTTGTATTTTGTGGGTTGATCTCGGTAAACGAATTGGTCGAACGGTTCTTGAAAAACGAAATGATGGTGTCACTTCAAAAAGCGCGATATCGTGATGATACATTGACAGGAACGAAGAGTGATGTGTGTCGTTGTATACATGAATGTTTGTCACCTTATGCACAGATCCGTCTTTATAAATTTTATTAGATCCAGCTCGTACATAAAATTGTGATGAGAGCGGGATTCTAAAAACAATAAACAAATATCGAAATTATACAGAATTAATTCACAGATTCATAAATTAAAATAAAAACTGATGTAATTTAATTATAATATTAAGATTAACAATAATGTAGTAATAATATTAAAATTTTATTACAAACAATGGAGAGCAGTGACAGCCCATGTTCTCGATAATATACTAGCGCCGCACAGAAATCCATATGAATTATGTAAACAGAGCTGCAAATTATAGTCTTGAAACTAACAAATTAGATCTATATACATTAGTGAGTATAGTTAAAAAATAATATTAACCATAAAGGGCCGATGTATTATATCAATTGGTTGTCCTCCGACAATTTTTGATTGCGTTTGATGCGTTGCATTTTCGCTTGATGTTTTAACCAGCAAACCTAGAATGTGCATGGAAAATGATAAATAACGTGTGGCTAAGGTTCGTATCGAAAATAATGAGAATAAATGTCATTTAATTATTGCTTTAATACTATTATCCAATAATGAAATGCGATAATTATTGATAACAAAGGAAATTAATCAACATTCATCTATTGTAGAATGTACATAGTTATTCATACCGGTGAAATAGAGAATAATAACTGCTCCGCGCATTTTTACTGACTGGTCATGATACAATGTGAACGGGCATATGTAAAGTATGACGATCCATTTTGCTGCGACAGTAAATGTCAAACACAACATATTCCGTAAATGTTTAACTGAAATAGGGACTGATATTATCGCAGTTACGGTATCATAACAAATGAAGGCTTAACATAATTTATATTAAGTATCGTAAACACAAAGTAATAATTTTAAATTTATTATTTTTATCGTAACGAGTTTAATACTTATTATGTACAATTTAGAAAGATTTATTGTAAAGATTCAAAACAGCCTCTTTGAGACTTGTAAAACTATCATTGTAATTTAGATATAATGTAAATAAATCTAATGTATATAAATTAAAATAAGAATTAAATTTAATAAATTTTTAAAAGTAATAATAAAAAATAATATAAATTATTGTTCGAAATTTTTTGTTATAAAAACTCTTTCTACTTACATTATATTATTTATAAAACTGAATTTGTGAGACAATTTTTATTATTATAATTTATGTAACAATAGATATTATCTATTCAATACAAAAGTCAAATTATCCAAAATAACATTATTTTTATATAATAAAACGCATAAAGAAAATTAAAGATAAGAGATTTCTTAATAAGAAGTCCAAATTTAATTTAATAGATTTATTTTTTTATTTCCTCTTTTTAAATTCTCGTTTACATGTTTTAATAATTAGTTTAATGCATATACATAACTAATTCTTTTTGTTTGTTTTTATCAGAAAATATGTTTAACAAATATAAGAAAATATATACATTTTTGTCCTAAAAATACGCATACATTTACAAATATATATTTTTTTCAATTGCTGTAATGTTAATTTTACAAGTAAAATAACTTATTAAGCTATATATGTATATATATTTTATTTGATGTACATATATTTTTAGTTAAAATATACATTCTCTTCATATATTAATAATTTTTTTGAAAACTTCAAATATTATCGAAGAAGCTATTCTTAATTACATCAAGTTCTACAAAATTGATTGAAGACAATAATTTACGTTCAAGTGCAGGTGAAGCCCATTCTTCCTTCAATTCTTCAAAATTGGATTCATCCTCATGTTTTCCCATACAAAACAACGTAGAAATCAAACTAACAGTTTCCATAAACATAGTTACCAATAATAAATTATTTGCAAGACTTGTTAAAATATTTTTACTGTTTCTATTTTGCACTCTATTTACGTGATTTATAAATTGCATCAATCTTTCGAAAGCTTCATCAGCCTCTTTTCTTATCTCTGCAAAAAATAATATATATAATTAATTCATAAAATACAGCTTTTCTATTGCAATACAACAAACTATAATTTCTCAGATTCTTTTACAAGTTTAAAATTAATCAATAAAAGTAAATATTTGTTGAAACTATTTTATGTCAACACAAATTATATTATTCAATAATTTTAAAACAAAAAATTAGAGCACAGATAATAAATCTTTTATTCTCATATAATTAATATAAATACTAACGATCTTTTTTGCGATATATCATAAGATGTTTTATTTCATTATTTTTATCGTAGATATTATCATCTATTGTACTATCTAAATCTGTCATATCTATTGACGAAACATCAGTAGAAATCGACATATCGTCTGTGTCTTCCAAATTTGTACATCCAAATAATTCCAAAAGTTTTATCATCCATTTACATAAATAGACAAGGATTTGTGTCTGCCATGATTCCTTGAAAGAACTTCTAATATTTTGAAAAAGGAATTTTTGCATCGCTAGAGCGGAACGATGAAAATTAGCAATAACAAGCATTGTATTTTTTAACATTCCATTTTTGTACACATCCAATAATGCAGATACCTTTTTGAATCTAGAAATAGATGTAAAAAAATCATAAATATATGTACAGAGAATAATAATTAAATCGTAAATAATTACATTGATCAAATTTAAAATTAGATCATACAATTTATCATAAAAAATTTAATAATACGATCAAAACTATGACGTACTATACTTTGTATTATAACATTTTGCAGGGTTAGTATAATATTGATTATTAAATATGCTATATGAAATTGTAAGAAAATATTAATTAGATAATATTAAAACAAGTAACTTAATCAAAATTAAACAAGTAATTTATCTTGAGTTTAAAAAAATATAATTTTTATTAATCATTTTTGTTTGATTATAAAATAGAATGCAATAAGAGCGCTTGATACAAATACTGAAAGAATATTTTAAATTTATTTTAATATATTTTTCTGATTAGTATTTGTTTAGTACACTTTAAGGATATTATTGTTGTGCTCATTAATGACTATATTAAAAAATATCTTATTAACCTTATAATTGTTTTCTTGTTCTTAGTATAATTTTTCGAAAGCGTATTCAATCTTCTGCGACCTTCTTGATAAATCATAAAATATTGACACACACATACATGTCATATATAAATTGTTTTCCCCATCTACTTCTGGAGAGAATGTTTCCGAGTTCATTTACGACACGACGAAAAGGTGATCGTTTAGTTATTCGACGATCCAGAATCTTTTCGTAAATATAATTTACTCGCTGTATCGTAGTCTTTGGCAATTTTCGATCAAAGTTGCAACGACCGCTCGCGCTGCCGTGTTCATTGCTATAATTTTGCAGTTACTTAGAGCTTCAATAGGGGTTGACCATGATTTGACAAGAAGAGCTTGATGAGCGATTATTTTGCGCGAATTTTGCTTTGATGATGACACGCAAGCCACGAGATGCCGCATCTCCTTTATACAATCATCATAATGACTGGCTCTTTCAATCAATAAATGACAAAGTAACGCGTGCAATTGTTCATTGTTCGTGCCATTATTTGATGTAGAATAAGAAAATGTTGGTTTTAAATTGAACTTAAATGTTTTCATATTACTGTTCAGTAAATCTTTTATTAAATTCACGAGAGTTCGATCAAGATAGAAAAATGTAAGATTTCTTCTGTCTTTTATCGACAATAAACATTTGAATAATTTTTCGTTAAATCTGGCAGCATCGTTTATAATATTTAGAAACTTGAAGCTTGTCATTGTATTGCGTGGTAATAATTCCTAAAAAAAGAAGTTGTGAAATCATATATTATGTATATGTATATATATAATTCTCATAACTTTCTCAGGAATTATTATCATAAAACATATATATATATTTTTTTTACATAAAATAGAATAATTAAAAATATTTTAAAAAGTATAACTATCTCATCACGTATTTATAAAATATTTTAAATAAAAGTCCTCAGGCATTTTTACACTTACCTTATTCTCGTGTAAAGTTACATTATACTTATCAAAATAACGATCGATCGTCAACCAAACTTCCTCTCCTATTCTGATAAGATCGCATAATAAAAATGATCCTTGAACCAAACCTTCGGTAAACCAATTTTCAGAGATTGTAGAATTCCATAGTATTTGTTTAAATTGACGAACTGATGTTAATCCACTAGCTCGCGCGAACGCCATAATTTTCGTTCGTATAATCTTACTTATCTCACTAATTATGTTTTGTAAATTACTTCCACCGGAAAATGATATTCTTTGCATTATTGGTTGAGCAATTGGCCCAGTCAATCTTGCCAAAAAGTGTTTTATCGTTGCTTCAGCATATTGAATCTGTCTTGGATTTATTAGAACGAATGACGTATCAACCGTTTGATTCCTTTGAGATATTGTTTGTGTATTATTATTATAATCAATACGCTTCGCCGTTGCACAAAACACAGTACTTCCTGGTAGAAATTATAGAAAAAAAGCAATATTAATTATTATTTATTAATTTAATATTATGGAATTAAATAATATCTTTTTATCTGCTTTACTTACCGAAGAATAAAAATAACGTAATCAATTTGCATCGCATGCTTGAGCTAATTGTAGAAAGCTAGTCTGTTTGTATGTAGATACTTTTAAATGTATGTGATGCATTTTATCCAGAAAACTACAGCAAAATATTTTTCATAAGTTTATTTGTACTTATCTCTTTGTAAGTCGTACGTCGACGTACATCATAAAAGTAAAATTTATGCATTCACTCGAGCAGTGTTAATACGTATCTAATAGACAATGCAATATTGATAGTGTAAAATTTATATTCGAGATTAAAAAATAATAACTATTATTTTATAATTTTTGTAAAATAAAATAATATTTAAAGTGAAAAATTTGAAGCTAACATTTTTATATTATAATGTTACAAAACACGTTATTGATGTTTGCTGTAACGCATTCGCAGAAGTATATATATATATATATAGTAAGCGAAATAGCGCCTGCGTTCATGCATCGCAACGATCGGGACGCCAGTCTGGGTAGCAGCTTGCCAGGAATCAATTCCGCACAGGTACTGATCTAAAATTAGTAATAAAATTGCACTTGCATTATTTTCTTTATAGAACTAATTTAAATTACGATAATCATTGTGTTGATGACAGATGTGAGATTAGATATTCTTTGTATTTGCATTATGTTTTCTAGAAGGTACATTGATTAATCGAATACACCGTTATATCAGTAGTGTTATTTAGCAATCATTGACATTTCTAAGAAAAATATTTCATGTAAATTTTATTCATATTATATATCGAATCAAATATCCTTGCTAAATTTTGAATAAATTTTGATTTAGGATAATTAATAGGTGTTATATGTAATGTATTATGTAGTGTGTAAAATGCGTATAAATTATTTTTGCATTAGTGATTTGTCGATACTACTTTTATGTATGTTTAACATAGAGATAATAGATGATGTCATCAAGATGACAGAAACTCCGCGAATGTTGAGTCATTTACATCTGTGCGTCTTGTGACATAAAATTTAATTTAATTAGTCTGACATCATGGCTATAAGAGAGAGAGAGAGAGAGAGAGAGAAAGAGAGAAAGAGAGATAAGATTATAGACTGTAATGTAAGTAAACTACGCATAAAATATTTTTTCTCATACGCGCGCTAACATATAATTTCTTTGTATA